GGTACAAACTCTTATTTTGATTTAGAATTCTCATTTGAAAATCGAATATATATATATATATATATATATATATATATATATATATTTTTTTTTTTTTTTTTTTTTTTTTTTTTTGTGGTTTTTTTTTAAGACAAGATTTCGACTAACGAATTCACTGTGTGCCATGTAAGTCTTGTCACCGACAACATTTGATTAAAAAATAAACTCTACACTTTATATCAGACAACAATAACAATATTATACAATATGTATAGCGCATGCACATGCCTTTCTACTAATGCATGTACACATATACATATGTATATATCAAATATGATTATTACATACACATGGTTCACTTAAATTCGCAAAGTGCCTTGTCTACTTAGCTGATGTTTGTTCGGGGACAGGCCCTAAGTCCAACGTGTAACATTTGCATGCATAAATACACATACATACGTTCTGTAGAAGCTGATGATAACGACGTTGACGGCTCACGGGCAAGGGAACAACAACAGAGGAGCATTTCAAAAAACACATTTTCCAATTCCCCACACGTTTTCACTTGGATTTGCTGCGGAGTGTCTTTGAGCATTTTTCTTTCCTCATGCGACCGAAATTAATGTGAAAATGAATGGAATTTTGTATAAAAGTTTGTTCCTTTTGGCTTATCCACTAAATTGGTCTGGTTCTAAGCGACCATGACTACTTTGTGGGCTAGCTGCAAGCTATGGGAATTAACGAAGCATGTGTTGTAATTTTCTGGAGAATGCATAATGATAATAATTCGTTGCATCTAAATTGTTGAATTTATGAAGACATGCGAAGAAATGTTGCCATTTTATAATTTTGATATTTGAAACTAAGAAAATCACTAATGTCATTGAATCATGGATGTACTTTCATTAGTATAACTCAACTTTTAATAACTTAAAAATATTTTAAGCGCTCTATAAGTAGAATGCAGTAAATGAATACTGTTTCTAATCGCCTTGCAGAGATAAGTATATTTAAGTGTGGATTTTTTAGTAGCAAATTGTATTTTCTTTGTGATGTGGAACAATTATTTGCACATGGGCAAAATAATATAAAAATAAAAGTTATTCGAAAATAAGTATTTCAACTTTTTTTTAGATTTAGAGTCTGATATTCACACAAGATAAATTGCATAATACCAAAAATTATAATATTTCTTATGGTATTAAATTTGAGATATCTTTAGAAAAATTTAATTTTTTTATTTTATTTTATTTAAATCAATTCAGTTAAGCCTATTTCATCTACTGAATTGCGACATATATGTTAAAATGTGTATCAAATCGTTGTGATTATACTAGATCCATAATAAACCTGTTAACCGGTATATGGGAATCTGAGATTTTCAAATATTTTGCAGTTCGAGTGGCAGGTATCTGAAGGAGTAAACCTTTTTATAACATTATCGCACTTCCAGCACTTTTTGTAGGAATATTGGGATGCGCAATGTTAGGAACATGATTATTCACATTTTTGACTCTTTGTGGGAAGGCACCACAAATCGATATTTTCCGTTTGAGCAAATGGAAAATCTCGATACAAATATAGCTATATTAAAAGCTTTTTAATATATTTTCCTGATTGAGTTACCAAAATAAGTGAAGCGACATTTATCTACTCTATATTAGATTTCACGTTGTCAAATGTTTTGGAATGTGTAAAGTTTGAAGAAACTCGAGGAATTTTCTATGCAACAACAAAATTAATGAAAAGAAAAATTTAGCAGATTGCGAAAGAAAAGCTAAAAATAAAAGACACGTGTATCAGCGATTTCAAAGTTTACATTGCAAAGAGACCTTTATTGAGGGTGGGAATTTCACTCCCCCTCCTTCTTTTACAAACTTTCGAATTAGGATTCCATGGAATCCCTTCATTTATATCCAACCAAATTCAATATAATTTGGCTTATTTATTTCCAAATTCCAAATTTCATTGAAATTGGAGATGCATAGCGTGCCGGGTGCATCAAAATCATGAAGTCGGACAGAAAAAGATGCGGCAAAAGACTTCTGGAATAAACGCAAGATGCCTTATATCACCCATATAGCGGAATATATGTTTTTGAATATATGTTTTTTTTTTTTTTTTTTTTTTTTTTTTTTTAAAGAATTTTCCCAAAATTTGGTGTTTTAAAAATCGCAATAGATAACCTTCATTGAAGCAGGAAATCGGTGTTATCGACTTTATAGTAATTTGAAAATTCTGAACCAACTGATTTCACTGATATAAATGGAAATGCTCAACTTCGATGTTATTTTTAAAGGTTTTCTTCAACTCATGGCGGAGGGTTTTTAAAAGTTCGGCGGTTTAAAAATGTTTATAATTATAAAAGAAATTAAATTAAATATATAATCTTAAATATAATAAATTAAACAAGTAAAAAGTAGGAAGTTCGGAGTTATACGAAGACCTGGACCTGCATAGACAATTTTCTGTCACAGGCTGTAGTATCAATTACGAATTTCAAATACGACACCTCAAACTATTTTGGTGAATATTGTACCTAAAATCGTCAAAATACCGAATAGAGGGAGGAATTGATATATGGGGCCAATACGAAGACCTGGACCTGCATAGACAATTTCCTGTCACAGACTGTAGTTCCCATTACGAACTCTAAATACGTAATTTGAAACCACTTTGGTAAATAATGACGCTAGAATCATCAAAATACCGAATATCGGGAGGTACCATTATATGGGGGCTATATGAAAACGTGGACCTACATGGCCCATTTTCGAACTTAGCCTGCCTACTGGTAAAATGAACATGTGTGCAAATTTTTAGCCTTCTATCTCAATTCATTCGAAAGATAGAAATAGCGTGATTACAACAGACAGATACACAGGCGGACATACAGACGGTCTTCGCTAAATCGACTTAAAATTATACGCTGATCAAGAATATATATACATTGTTGGGTCTGACATGCGTATTTAAAGGAGTTAGAACAGAATGACAAAATTAATATAGCCTTAATAGTATGGTGGAGGGTATAAAAACAAAAAATTTGAAAAGTTTATACACTATTAGCCATTTTTTTACACTGCACCATAGATAGTATGGAGGGTATATTAACTTCGTCATTCCGTTTGTATCTTATCGAAATTATAATTTTATACCCAACAAGGAATATATATTCTTAATCAGCGTTTGTCTGCAGGCGGGTCAAGTTCCAAGATGGGCTATATCAGTCTACAATATCGTATAGCCTCCACATAATGGTACCCCCGATATTCGGTATTTGGATGATTATACCCACATTTTTCTATGGAATTGTCTGAAATTCTACACAAGAACTTCTTTGTGAGTAATTTATCCCCTGAAAGAGAATTTTCTATATAGGTCCTCGATATTCCTCTTATAACGCTACCCCCGACATTCGGTATTTGGATGATTTCAGCCATATTTTTTAATGGAATTATCTAAAAATTCACACAAGGAGTTCCTTGTGAGTACTTTATTTTCTTGAAGAGAATTATTTATATAGATCCACGATATCGCATAGTCCCCATATAACGGTACCCCCCTATAATTAGTATTTTGATAATTTACTTTTGCAGGACCACGGCTTCGTATAGCCCCCATATAATGGTTTTCATTTCAGCATCGTTTTTCGACGATTTTTTGAAATCTTTCAATTTTCTTCCAAATGGTGGAGGGTACAAAAAGTTCGGCCCGGCCATACTTAGTTGCTTTTTTACTTGTTAAAACTGAAATTTTGGGAAATTATATAGAGGTTAGAAATTTAAAAAAATGAAGTATTATTCTATTTTAATATTTAACTAGTCTATATTTACAATAACAATACCGATTCAGTTTTCTTAAATATACAATAAACAGTTTTATTAAATATATATTTTAATTTTTTCCTTTCAAAATATTCGTATCATGTCGACAATAGGAATGTTGTGCCGACTACTGGCACAAAAACAATATTTTATTTAATATAAAAAATCACCAAATGTATAAACTAATTAATTTTTTTTTTCTTTAACATAGAACTATGTAGAATTTCTAAAAAGTCTAACTTGAATTTAACATAATAGTAAATTTGCGTTTAAAACAATTTTGAAGATGAGCTATACCATAAATTGCCGTCTACTGGGATACATACACCATATCAGAATGTATAAACTAATTAAAAACCATATCAGAGTTTTGCGTTGTTTAATTTACTTTAAACCACGCTATTATAAGATTAGAACCGTTTGGCTAACAAAATCAAGTTATTACTAAAAATTCTGAATTGGTCAAATTTCCCAAGAGAATCTGAACATTTATTTTTCATAAACAAAAAATAAATTTTACCAAGATTGAAATATTTAATTTAAACGATCTGAAATTCTAGAGGAATTTCAAGAAAGTTTATCACACAACGGAAATTATGTCAAAAATATCTTTTGCTCGGCTTAGTAGTCATATTTGTTTTGGTTTGTTAAGAGTTCATGACCGGACTCTTTACCAAAAAAAATTAGCATTACTATTTCAGTATTTTAATAAATTCCTTTAAAAATGATTTACATAGTTAAGATGTCATTTTTGGTGAAAGTCCAAACGCGTTATCCCACTCCTCATTCCCATCTGATAACAACTACCAAACAACAACAAAACCATAGGAAACTATGATATTGCAATAAAAACGGCAGACATGCTTCCTAACCACCCATATGCCTAAGATAAAACTACAACAACAATCTCAGCATGTCATGCCATCGGATAATGGCGGTAGCCAAATGTCTAACAGTTGTTGTATTGCGCCCCCTATATGTGAATTTTAGTTTCTTCACAGCCTGATCCCACGTATCGTAAAGTGAGTGAGAGTGAGTGAGAGAATCCGATGAAACATGAGACGGAAACAAATGCCATTGCAATCGACCCACCATAGTCAGGTAGTTGCAAATACATTACAGCAAACAAAATGAAAAAAAAAAACACATCTTTGTACACAGCAAGGTTCTGCTGTACTTAGTATTTGGTAGATGTTCAATTGAAGGAAATCAACGTTAGTTGGAAGGAAAAAAATGTTCGAAAGAAGCTAATTTTAAATTCATTTTCATCAGACAGCTTGCTGTTTAACCGCTTGCTCCTCCTCCTTCTCATCGTTGGTTCGATCAACTGCAATGGAAAATATATCTAATTTGCCAGTGTTTTCGGCATCCAGCGTCTGTTGTTTATTTCATCAGTTACGTGCTGTGAGTGCATGTAATATTTACTTCTTGCTTTGTATCGCCAGCAGTTGGTAGCTTCTGCTGTTGCCAACATGAGTCCACAACGACGAGTGAGTATCGTATCACATGGTTTTTTACTTTATTTATAATTTAATATTGTTGGAGATTTTCTTTTGTGCATTGGCGGCGTACAGTTATTGGTTTGTGCTGTAATCTGGAACAGTGTTCCAAAATACTTAAGCGGTTTTGACACATTTCAAGAGGTTGGGATGTTTTTATACCCTCCACCTTGGAAAGGAGGGTATATTCAATTTGTCATTGCATTTTTAACACCTCTGAGCGTTCGTCATAGACCCCAAAATGTATATAAATTCATGATCTTTAATGCTCATCATTCTAAGCCGATTTAACGATGTTCTTCCGTCTGTCTGTTTGAATCACTATATATGCTATATTATATAACGTAGAGTCTTAAAAACTGGTAAAGTAGTTTATATTTGGTCTAGGATGGTTGGTATTGATAATGAGATGTATCGGTCCACGTTTTGGGATAGCCTCCATATAACGGTGGCTCCCGATATTCGGTATTTTGATCATTTTATTCACAATTGTCCACCAATTTGTCTAAAATTGATATTTGTAGTACGTTATGGAGTCTAGACCCAGTGACGGAACATTGTACAGGGTGGGATAAAAACAACTGCAACAATGTTAAACGCCATAATTTTTACATTTTTTTAAATTCTATTGAATAAAAGCTAAAATGTCGGTAATAGCATCAACTTTTAGAAAAAGTTAAGCCTTCAAACGACAAATGAAGCCGTCACACGCTGCACGAATGTTCCTCTGTGGTATTTTGGCCCATTCCCGGCGAAGCGCTTGCTTGAGGTGATCGACACATTAGTATTTTTTAATGCCAACCTTGCGTTCCAAAATACTCCAGACACAATAATCCATCGGCTTGGTATCCGGAGATTTTGGTGGTCATTATGCGCTGAAAATGAAGCGGGGAACCTCATTTTGTAACTATTTTTGGATGGCGGGTGCTGAGTGCGATGGTGCTGACTCCTGTTCGAATGTCCAAGGTCTGCGGCCAAAATGTTTGCGTGCCCAAGGCTTTAATACATCCTCCAGAATATTGTCACGATATTAGTCGTTGTTTATTCTGATTTCACGGTCGATTAATATGAGCGGAGAGCGATCATTGGCTGTTATGGCGGCGCTTGAGTTCTGGTGGCCAACCGATGGTGGCCTGACATCTTTGGCAAGAAAATTTTCAATCATTTTGTTTTTTTACTAACTGCTGGACAATGAATGTTTTCTCATCGGAAAAAACCAAATTAGGCAGATCAGCTCTTTTGACTCTATTTTCCATCTGTTGCGGTAAGTTCTTGCACTTTTTGGAATTTCAATGGCTTTACCCAGAACTCATTTTTCAATATTTGCCAAATGGAATATTGCGATATGTTCAACTCACGAGCCATTTTACGGCCTCTACGACGCGGGTGTCGATCAAGTCGTTTCTTTACTTTTCGAACCATTTCTACTGATGTTGCTGTTTTCTTCTGTACACTTCCTTGACGTCGGGCTACGCTACCAGTAGCACGGTAAAGAGCGATGGTACGAGACACAAAAAATTTATTGACATTTAAATGCTGGAGTTCTCTAACGATAGCCACTTGTGGTTTACCAGTCAAACATAATGACATCACACTATCATGCTTGAATTCCATCACCATTAACTTTTTTTCTGGAAAATTCCCACCAAAATGATTTTGAACGCTTGTAAACAATATAATGGTCTGTCACTGGAATAATTTTAATATTTGTCGGACGAGTGCCTTAGAAATGACAGCAGTCTGAAGTTGGTTGCAGTTTTTTCATCTCACACTGTATATATAGGACAACGTATAGCCCCAATATAGGCGTACCTCCTAATATTCAGTATTTTGCTTAATTATTGCCACATTTTTTCACTAATTTGAAGAATTGGTATTTGTGGTTCGTAATAGTTTCTGGCGGAACATTGGTTTTATCCTGTATTCTAATTGTTTTACCCTTATATTTCCATGAATTTGTTTAAAAATTTTTATTTATAGTTCATTATGTATTTTAACTCAGGTTGCAGAACATAGAATATCTATGTCCACGTTTTCCTATAGCGCACAAATAACGGCACCTTTGGATATTCCGTCTTTTGACAATTTAAGCCACATTTTCTAATAGATTTGTGTGAAGTTTTGTATTTGATCTTTATAATGGGTTCTACAAACGGTGTAAAAACATTGTCCATATTGGCCAACGGTTCACATACAACGGTTCGGTATTTCATATTTGATATATAAACCGATATTCAGTATTTTGATAATCCTAGTAACATATGCTCCCGTTTCGGCATGGGTCCCATATAACGGCTCCCGCCACTATGTTCTTTTTTAAAAACTGGTTTTCAGTATATAGAAGATTACATGAAAATCTGCCATAGACAGAGAAACCTTCAAGAAGTTGACTACCAAGGAAGATATAAAGAAGGTTATCTATAGCTTTATCTTATCTTTTATGCAACTTCTATTAAAATTCAAAAATAAAGCAGAACGAGAATATAGCAGCGATATAGGGTCCACGAATAATATTTCTAGTTTTTGCAATCCGAATGATGATACTAATAATAGAGAATACAAAAATGTCTCAGTGGAAAAAAATTACACCAAATTTTGGAATTTTAATAAAAATTCAAACTTTTGAAAATTTCAACAGGAAATTTCATATATATTTCATTTCATAACACTGTTCATTGCCCCTTTGTGTGGTGAGATTTTTCCCTGAATATGAGCAGCCTCCATTTATTCGTCTAAATGCAATTTGCAATTCAGTGCAGAAAACGTTTGCGGCTTATGCTTGATTAAGAAGTAAGTTTGCCAGGGGAAGCTAAAATAATGTCATAAACCGGCACAGCACATGATGTCGATCTGGGTCTTTGCTGACTTCACCATTGCAATCATAAAATCTGTCCGTCCCTTATTTGCAGACTTTCGGTCTGTCACTCAATGCAGAAGCGATAATCTCCAAAACTAGACAAAATAGAAATGGAGAAGAAAAGAAAAAGGATTTTACAAAATCAAATGCAATTTGTTGCATGCCTCATCATTGCTTTGGGTAATTGACTTTAGGACTCTTCTACATGGACAGGTTGTGCTCATATCTAATAACTTTAAATATTAAAATTTAATGCTGATTGTTGGGCAGTTTTGACATGTTCATTAGGAATCTTTAGCTGTATGTTGGCAAAGTTATGTTTTTTTTTTTCGATTCACGGATAACCAATTACTGGTAATGTAAATGAGACAAAAAATCAAAAAGGGCCAGTACATTAGACTAATCAGAATGCATACAACTTTGTTGATAGGAATGTTATTTAAATTTTATGACATTTTTATTTTTCTTACTGTTATATAATATAATTTCTTTTTCTTTTAGATCTATCAAAATAATATTTTTCTGCGAAAATCATAAAAAATTTAGCATGTTTAATTCACTCAATAGTATACAACATTTTAGTTTTTTTCTTAAAATTTTATGTGATTTTTATTGCTTTTTAATTGGTGTAAATTAAACATAAAGTTTCTCCGATAAAAATTGGATATGACATTTTTGAAATGTCATTGACATTAAACTGGCAAATAATAATTTATTTGTGGCTCATAAATAATAAAATATGGATTTTTTAATATTTTTTATGTGCGGATTTTCACCGAAAAAATGCATATCGAAGTCATAAAACAGCAAGTAACACAGTTTTGTTTGTCAATGGCTTAATTAAAAATGTTTTATATTCAAAAATCAAGTTGTCAAAAATGTGATATTTAAATATAAATATAAACATGAAACTCTTCGTGGAATATTAGGTTGTCCAGAAATCAAATAGCAGTTTTAAGATGTTTGGAATCATAAGAATATAAAAACTATCTACCCAGTAAAATTTAATGGAAGTGGATAATATGAACCCAAATTGAATGGATTTTGGTACATACGTATGAATTTAACCTTGAAGAAAGTATGTCAATTTTTGTAAAAATCGGAGCAGAGGAGGTCTCGTATACATGTTTTATTGAATTTTGTATTTAACTGCCTCACATCCGTAAAATACTCTCTACAACAACGATATCTGGAGCCAACTATCAGATACAGCATAAAAATATCTGTGCTAAATTTTATAGAGATCGGTAAAGATTTGGAAATAACTCCGGTATATATCTTCACCCGATATTAGGTTTGTTGTTCCTAAAAACTGTAATATCAGCTCAAATGGAATGCATTTTAAATTAATGAGTAATACGCATTTAAAAACGATAGTATTTGTTATGTCTAAATTCTCATAAATTCCGCGTATATTTCTTATATGTAACTCTACTATATATGCAAAGTGGTGTGGGTATCATAAAGTAGGCCCAACGCGACTTTGGCTTTTCTCTACTGTTTTTATACCCTCCACCTTTCTATGGTGAGTATATTAGATTTGTCATTCCGTTCGTAACTCCTCGAAAAATTCATAATAGACTCTACAAAGTCTGTTGTAATCACACAATCTTCCGAACGAATTGAGATAGAATGCTAAATTTTTGCATACATGCATAGTTCACCAGTAGGCAGGTTAATTTCGCAAATTGGATATGTCGGTCCACATTTTCGTATAGCCCCCATATAACGGTAGCTCCCGATATTCGGTATTTTAATGGTTTTTGCCACATTTCTTCGCGGATTTGCCTAGAAGTTGGTATTTGTTGGTCTTAATGGGTTCTAGCTCTTTTGCCGAAACACTGTATGTATAGGTCGACGATTTTGTAAAGCCCCATATAGCCGAATTTCCCGATATTCGGTATTTTGAAGATTTTTGGCACATATTCCCATGAATATGTCTTAAAATTGGTATATAGGCTCTAATGTTCCCTTTACCCTTAGGTGGTATTTTGATGATTTTAGATATAGATACTACAGCATAAGACAGAAAATTGCCCATGTAGGTCCACGTTTTCGTATAGCCCCCTATTATGGGTACCTCCCCATATTCGGTATTTTGATGATTTTAGCGACATTATTTACTGGAATTGTTCCAAATTTGATATTTGAAGTTCGTCATAGATACTACAGCCTAGGACAGAAAATTGTCTGTGCAGGTCTACGTTTTGGTATATCCCTCATATAATTGTACCTCTCTATATTCGGCATTTCGGTAATTTTAGTGTTATTATTCACCGATTTTTTTATGTTTCCCATTTGAATATTGTAATGGTTTATGACAAAAGATGTCTATGCAAGTCCATGTCTTTTTTACTTATGTGAAATTAGGTATTGGAAGTTTGTAACAGCAGGAATAACATACTTTTCGAAAAATGAATCTCGGCAATCATAAATATATTTTTAAAGTGTTACTTTCCAAATAGCGAGTTCTTTTAAAAGCCCTGCTCGGTCGAAGTTCACAGCTTTTTTACTTGGTTCTTCTTTAGCAGACCAATACTCTGGAGTCTTTTTTTTTTTTGCAAGTTTATTCTATATTGCAGCAAATTACTCTTGCATGGTCAATGTGTTGGCGGGCCTTTCAGTTATTTCACATATATAATATACTTGCGGACATTTCATGGGACATTGGTATATACATATGTATGCATATCCATACCATGGACAATATTAAAGCTCAAATTTATAAATACGCAATAAACACGACTGCAATAGTAAAAAAATTATCATGATAGTCCATTCTCGTATGGTATTTCTACGAAAAACTTAAATAAAGGAAAATTCTCTGGATAAGTATGCAGAAAAAAAACAACAACTATATTATAACCGACAACTGGAAATTTCACATGTCTTCATATGTTACTGTACATTTGCATTTGATGACAAAATTACACTTTACGCAAATAATTGATGAAATATAAAAAAGTGTTGTTCCCACCACTTGGAACAAATTTGGCAAATTTCAAAAAATAAAATCAGTTAAAAATGTTGTTAAAATTTAAAAATACCGAATGTAGCCAGCGTCAGGGTAGTTAGGGTCTATACGACGTCGTGGACTTGCATAGGCAATTTTTGTCATAAGCCATTACAATATTCAAATGCGAAACTTGACAAAAAAATCGTCGAATAATATCGCTAAAATCATCAAAATACCGAATATAGGGAGGTTCTATTATATGGGGGCTAACCAAAATGTGGACCTGCACAGACAATTTCTGTCATAGGCTGTGGTGTCCATTACGAACGTTAAATACCAAATTTGAAACAATTTCGGTGAATAATGTCGCTAAAATCATCAAAATGCCGAAAATAGGGGTGTTCCGTTATATTTGGGCTATACGAAGGCGTGGACCTGCACAGACAATTTTTTGTCACAGGCTGTAGTATCCAGTACGAACTTCGAATTTAAAATATTTCCGGTGAATAATGTCGCTTAAATCTCTAAAATACCGAAAATAGGAGGTACCCTTATATGGGGACTATACCAAAAACGTGGACCTACATGGCCCATTTAAAATACCAAAAATCCTGCAGACGTAGTATACATTTGAGTACAATTTTATCTACCTACTTCATTTCGTTCGGAAGCTAGAGTGATTTCCACAGACGGATAGACAGACGGACATTGCTAAAACGACATCGAATTTTATGCTGATCAAGATTTGAAGTACAATATTTTTTGTAGAACTACCATATGCCAGCTGTTATGTAATTTCCACATACAAAGAATGCAAATTAAACGAACCTATCAAACTGCCATTAGTTGAATAAAGAAATTTCAAAAATTCGACCCATAATTATTTCTATAAGTGTAAATTAAGAATTTCCAACAAATATTTAAAAAAAATCACTTTAATACGGAGCAATGCTGTTGTTGCATTTGTTCATTTTACAAAATTAAATCAGACAGACATGTTGAAAAACAAGACATTCATGGCTAATGGCAACTGAATATATGCATTTTTTCTTCTGTTTTTAGATATTTCTCGTCTATCTGATGTTGTTTTTGTGGCATTCCCAGTTGACAGTGACACTTAATGGATGGATGGATGAGTCACAGACACAAGGTCCCGGATGATAAGACCAACAAATAACTAGGTTCTGGCAACGAAGGAAGCATGAAGCCCTATTCTATACCCAAGGCAAATTACGATTGGCTGCATTTCGTTTGAATGAATGGTTGGCGGGATGGATGGATGTACTGATGGTCATTCGAATGCAGTCTGCTGTCGCTACCAACTGAAAATTTGCATAGTAATAAATATTCTAAAAAACAAATGAGTCAAAAAGCTTGAACAAAGTTTTGTTCACTCAATTTGTTTTCATGTTATTTTATGGCAGTGACATGTTTTCATGATTTCATGGCGTTCTGTTTTTTCTGATTTTATTTTTTCTTTTTTGCTTTAAGATAGGAAAACTACAGCAGCGACGACTACAACCACTAGCCCCATATATATGCACCCGGGTATAATATTCTATAGTAATATTTATATAACAGCATGTGATGTGCATGCTATTTGTTGTCGTTTTTTTTGTTTGTCTTTGCCATCATGATTTGTGTTTTGAATGGCTGTTTCGCATAAAGTCAAGTTGCTAGTTGGACAAAGACAAAAAGTCACTTCTGGTGCCAAGAGCGCAATTGCATTTTGTATAGCTGTCTGTTTTTGTTCTGTAATGAACATTTTTAAATAATATATGCATTATGAACTATAAGTTGAAAATTCGTCTGTGGGATGAGAACATGGGTATGGGATTAAATGATCAAGTGTGTTGTAGAAAGATAATTGAATTTTATTTCAGATATTCTTATGACCAAATCAATTTAATTTTAAACTTATTTGTGGTTGCGAATGTTGAAAAATTCAAATATAGGAAATATAGACATTTATTTTTTTTGTGATATAGATAATTGTATAATTTATTTGTAATATAAAAAAATAGACTGTAACATTTTCCATGCATCAATTATTTTATAAAACTTACACTCTCTTGGGAAAAAATTAAATAATTGTCGTATTCCTCACCTAGTAGGACATAATTCTTGACAATTCAGGTTTCATCGTTATACCATGGTTTTTATTATTTGTAACAAAAATCAGCATTTGCAGCCGTATAAATGATACCATATGACACCACGCATATTTAGCACTTCCACCCTTAACAAATGTGTATAGGTTCATAGTGGGAATATATGTAAACTCAATTATAAACCCTTTAAGGGGTTGAAATTTCAAGTTGGATGGAAAGTATATATGGAGTATCAAAATATTAATTAATTTTAATATTACCAATTAATTTAATGGAGATAATTGTATGATGTAAGACTATATCGTGGATGTTATGACTTTGGGAAGATTTAATTATAAAATATATTGAAAATTTAAGATATATATAATCGTATGATCTAAAATTCAAGTGAATTAGACAAACATAATGCGTTTGGTGTACTATTAAAGTAGATGGAATATATTTGAGAGCAATATCTAAATGTTGGCTGATTTAGATAAAATTTAGTAAATGAATGTCTATTCTATATTTGATATATTTAAACACAAAGTGTTGTTCCCTTACTTTGTCACTATAGTGCTAGTGACAAAGTAAGGGAACAACACTAGTGTATTGGGTTTAAAAAATATTAAAAAAAAAACACAAGTAGAAAGGCAATAAGTTCCGCCGGGCCAAACGTTGAATACCCTCCAACCATATGCAATTTTCCGTCACAGGCGGCACTAGCTATTATGAATTACAAAGACAAAATTTGAAACGATTCCGGTTGATAATGTGGCTAAAATCATCAAAATATCGAATATAAGAAGGCACCTGCATGAGCAATTTTCTTTCAAGGACTGTAGTACCAACTAGGAACCTCAATCTCCAAATTTGAAAAATTTTCGGTCAAATATCCAGGAAGAATGTTTCTTTCATAATAAGAACACATGCTGCCAATACACAGAAAATTCGAGTTACATTTGTGACTAAAACTCCCAAGAAACCTTAAATCTGTCGATACAGTTATATGGGGGTACTCCAAAACACGGACCTACAATACAATTCATGCAGACTTAACACACACCTTGGTAAAATTTTATTAACCTACTTAATTTTATTAACCTATTCCGGTTGATAATGTCTCTAAAATCATCAAAATATCGAATATAAGATTGCACCTACATGAACAATTTTCCGTCGTGGACTGTAGTACCAACTAGGAACTTCAAATTACAAATTTGAAACATTTCCGGTCAAAATATCTGGAGGTACAGTAATATGTGGACTATAAAAAAACTCATACCTATATTGACATTTCTATGCAAGGATGTTTAATAAGAACACATGCTGCCAACTTACAGCAAATTCGGGTTAAATTTGTAATTAAAACAACCAAAAAAACCTTAAATCTGTCGATATAGTTATATGGAGGGTATACCAAAACAAGGACCTTTGTACCCCATATTCAATACTTAAAGTCCTGCAGACTTAACCCACATCTGAGGTAAATTTTATTAACCTATTTCATTTCGTTCGGAAATTAGACTGATTTCGACCGAAGGACGGAAATCGCTAAATTGACATAGAATTGTATACTGATAAAGAATATATATACTATGTGGGGTTTAAAATTTATATTTCGAGCAGTTACAAGCGGAACGACAAACTTAATATACCCTCCATGCTATGGTGGAGGGTATAATAACAATTTATGTAATATATTAAATAATGATAAAACTCATGGACAAAATCACAAAAAAATTATAAGAACTAAAAAATTTGATTCTACCCCGATTATTGTCTTGAAACAAGAATTTGATAATTTTAATTAAAACAAATAAAAAGCAGCTAACTTTTAATACCCTCCACCATTTGGAAAGAACTTGAAAGCTTTCAAAAAATTCCGAAAAATACCGTTTGCCCTTTATACGGGGGGCTATACGAAGACGTGGACCTGCACAGACGATTTTTTGTCTTAGGCTGTAGTTTCCAATAAAAACTTTAAATAATAAATTTGATACATTTCCGGTGAAAATGTCGCTTAAATCACCAGAATACCGAAAATAGGGAAGTACCATTATATGGGGGCCATATCAAAACGTGAACCTATGTGACCCATGACCAGGACGAACTTTTAATACCCTTCACCATTGGGTAAAGAAAACATTTTTACATAAAAGTATCTGAATTCAAACGTTTATTTGTTTGGATAATACAGTTAAGATTTGCACAAAAAAAAATAAAGTGTGTTAGGCCTTACCAAAAAAGGAACCTATTTAAATAACTTTACACCAAAACACTTTATACCACAAGGATTGTTATCTATTGCGAGTCTTAATTGCCAAATTTGAAAAAATCGTGGGTGACTAGGATTGTCAAAATACCGAATATCTGTGTAGATATTTAATGTTCTACCACCGGATCTAGAACCCATTAAAAACTACAAATAACAACTTTTAGACAAATCAGTGGAAAATGAGGAAAAAATAATCAAAATGTCGAATATCGGGAGGTACCGTCATATGAGGGCTATACGAAAACAAGGATCAACATGGCCCATTTAGATCCTAACCTGTCTGCTGGAAAAATACACATGTGTGCACAATTTTATTCTTCTATCTTAATTCGTTTGAAAGTTAGCTTGATTATAAGAGACAGACGGATAGACAGACAGAATTTTAGAATTTTACGCTGATCCAGAATATATACTTTGTAAGGTCTATCATGAATATTTCGAGGAGTTACAAACGAAAGACAAAGCTAATATACCCTCCATAGAATGGTGGAGGGTATAATGATTGATTTTTTTTAGCTCACTGACAACGCAGAGGATATGAAATTGTCATTATTTGTTGGTAGTCTGGTAAGGCAGAGGTCTATGTTAATTACTACTAGTAATGCTACAAATGATATATACGTTGCAGGCTTTATAATCTACTTTAGTCCTTCATCATTATTTGTTAATTTGGCTTCGCAAATTTGTGTGTGGAGCTAAATGTGAAACATATGCTTTCCAAACATTTTATTAATTGTTAATGATGCAAATAAGTTGTTTAGTTTTTTTTTTTTATACATTATTTTCAGATTATTGACAATGCCAATGGTAGTTTATTTATATTACTTTGTAATTGTTTTTTTTTTTTTTTTTGCTCCCAATTTTTGCTGGGATTTTCTAGTTGCTACTGCTAGTAAATACTAGATATTTTTTAAATAATGTTTTATGCAACAATAAAATAAAAAAAAATGCAATATTGTTATTAGTTTCCGAAAATTGATTATTATTTTCTTCTCTATTCTGAAATAATGAAAGTGTTTGTTTTTAAGCGCATACTTAGGGATCGTGTAATATTTCAGCTTCCTTAACCATACTATATTTATTATCAAAGCTAGTATAAAATTTCTAAATCAGTAACGACAATGCGACTCCTACAAAAGCCAAATAAAATGTCATGCATCTCTTTCTAATGCAAAGCACCACACATTTTTATCAAACGTATGGAAACATCTAGAAGTAATTATATTTTTCCAATATCTTCTAACACGAAACATGTTTATTTTACAGGAAATGCTTTTTCCGTACATTTCTGTTTTTCTTCTTTTTTTTATTTCCAGAGATGTCTACCAATGATAAACTGAATGCACTTGCTCCATGGACATTGAGCACCATCAGTTCCAGTTGTGATACTTATAAAATATACCAAACTAAAAGCAATTTTGCAACTCAAGTGTAGAGGAAGATATAAAACACGGAAAGGAACCAAAAAAAGAAAGGAATAATGTCAGCAGGGAAGCAGAGGAAGAGAAGAACAAGTGCGGAATGAATTTTGTGCGAAAGTGTTGTTTGTCATGAACGATGTTTTCTAGAAGGACAGAACACCCAAATCGTGAACCCCTTGATGGTTTATTGTTGGTGTTGCCCTGGTGGATAGGATGGTAGGTTGGTTCATTCGTTCGTTGCCTCGCTTACTGGTTGGCAAATAATGAATGGATAGAATACAAAACCCACACGCTCTCTTGATACTGTTTATGAAGCGAAACGATAAACTGGTGGATGATGGAAAAAATATATATATTCTTTTGGCATGAAAGCAGCTATGCGTTGCATTGCGAAACATGAAACTAGAACTCAATGTACAACTGAAGTGTACAACGTCCGCTCCAATAGATTTAGCAGGAAATGTTGCAGAACAGTAAAATGAGAAGCTCAAAGCAAAGGGTGTGCAGAAATTATTTTAAATTTTCCTACTCATTAGAATTTACCAACAGACTTTGTTTTGAATTCAATTCAAAGGAAATCTTTTAAATAAATAAAAAAGTCAACACCGGAATTGTTTCGAATTTGGTATTTGAAGCTCGTACTACAGCCTATGAAAGAAAATTGTCTGTGAAGGTCCACGTCTTCGTATAGCCCCCATACAACGGTACCTCCCGATATTCGGCACTTTGATGATTTTAGCGACATTATTCATCGGAATTGTTTGAAATTTGGTATTTGAAGTTCGTAATGGATACTACGGCCTATGAAAGAAAATTGTCTGTTCCGTCCAACTCTTCGTATTGTCCCAATACAACGGTACCTCCGTTTATATTTGATAGTTTTAGCAACATTATTCACCGATTTTTTTTTTCAAGTTTCGCATTTGAATATTCTATGGCTTGTCTATGAAAGTCCACATCGTCGTATAGACCCCAATATAACGGCTACATTCGGTATTTTTAAGATT